ACAGGATGGTCTGAGAATTTGGGTTTTTATAAAATCACCGTCAGAAAAACCGCGACGTCCGGAAACAGAAGATAATTCAGCGGAGTTCAGCGGACAACAATTCCCTCCTGTCAGGTCACAGGAGGCCGAGGAACACAGCAGGGAGGTCACTCACACACACACACACACACACACACACACACACACACACACACACACACACACACACACACACACACACACACACGTACCTCCTCCAGGATGCTGACGGTGTTCCTGCAGCTCTGCAGTCTGGTGCTGAAGCTGGACGTGATGGGGGAGTTGTAGTCCTCGGTGGTCTCCGACAGGAACTCAAACACTGATATCTGGTCCGGCATCCTTCTCACGCACACGCACGTGCACACTCACTCACACACAAGGAAACACACACACACACACACACACACAAACACACACAGGGACTTGCAGCTGCTGGGACTGTGCAGATGTTGGACAGCTGATCTGATGTCCTCTGAGTGTCTCCTCCTGATGATTCACTCCTCCTCTCTCCTCCTCTCTCTCCTCCTCTGACCTGCCGTCAATAACGCACCGAGCGACATGTGACCCCGGAGTTGACCTTCAAAATAAAAGCCCAGTGCTACATAGCGATGTCTTTGACTGTCTGTCCACACAGCTGCTTTAACATGACAGCATGAACATATAAACAATGATCCTCTAATAAACTCTGTCAGTGACAGAACAGCTGTTCTTTAAGGTGGAGTCCCACCTGTCTCCATCCTGCACCAATATTCATTAAGATTAAAATAATTCAGTGAAAATGTTTTTATGCTGTTTGAAATAAAATAACATCTGTGATTTTAATCTTTAGTTTTGATCTCATTGATGTTGATTTTATCTCGTCTTAATTCTTCATTACGTTGATTTTATTTGGATTCTGATTCAGACCCGTGTGTCTGCAGTCCTCTTAGATGTTTTAACAATGATAATTTTAAAAATGTAGAATGTGTTACTAAAGTATTTATTTTTATTCTCATTAATTAATCTTTTTTTTTTACTCCTCATGAACCAGAAATGTGTAAATTATTCCATATTTTATTCGTTTTATTTTGAAAAGGTACCTACAAAAACTTTTGGTTTGTTTCAGCAACTTGACAACCTTCGGACTTGGCAGGTCGAGTGCGCATGCGTGACATCAGGCTAATAATTGGCAGCAGCAGCAGATAAAGGTGAAGAAACATTTATATTTATGTTTAATAATTCATAATAATGTTTATTTAAATGTTTGTGTCAAAATTATTGATATCTTTGAGTTTAAAATATGAGTATTTGTCTAATAAATCATATAAATAACAGATCAATAAACAGGTAACCTCCTCCTGTCACTCTGAGTCATATTTATTCTTTTATTTTCAGCTCCTGTTACTGTTCAAACATCATAAAATTAAAATAATCTTCATGTTTTATTAAAATTTAACTCTTTTCTGAAATGAACCCAATAAACTGTGTAGAGGGTCAAAGGAGGGACTGTTAATACGATCAATATTGATCATTTCATACAAACAGACTGACTCAGTGAGACACGCTGTTTGTCCTCCTCTCACCAGCAGGGGGCAGCAGAGAGCGCCCGCTCCAACAGCTCCGCCTGAACCACAGAAGAGGAAGAAGAAGAAGAAAGAGAGTAGAAGAAGAAGAAGAAGAAGAAGAGTCAGGAAGTGTCCGGAGCAGTAGTCAGCAGAGATTAGCCTGATTAGCCTCCAGGCTAACTCCGAACTCCTCCTGATATGACGTTTCTCCGATAAAGTGTGAGTTTGATCTAACTGCTCTTACTGCGCAGACTCAGTCACCCTAATCCAGCTGTTACTCACGAGCGCGCCGCTGACGCTGCTAACTGTTAGCATGTAGCTTAGCTTAGCTGGACTTCCGGTCAGCTGTGAGGGTGAGAGTGACGAAGAGGAGGAGGAGGTGAGGAGGAGGACAGGAGGAGAGAGAGAGAGAGGAGGAGGTGAGGACAGGAGAGGAGAAGGTGAGGAGGACAGGAGAGGAGGAGGAGAGAGAGAGAGAGAGGAGGAGGTGAGGAGGAGGAGGAGGAGAAGAGAGAGGAGAGAGAAAGGAGGAGGAGAGAGGAGGAGGAAAAGAGAGAGGAGAGAGAAAGGAGGAGGAGATAGAGAGAAAGGAGGAGAACAGGTGAGGAGCTCAGGTGAGTCCCTGGACTGACCCTCCATCAGCTGATCGTGTGAACAGGTGAGCCTAAGATGTGAACGACCAATCAGAGTCAGAGACAGGGAGGTGTGTCTGTGGGACTGTAGTAGGGGAGACCGGGGTAAGTCCACCGCAGGAGACCTCTGTCTTTATGGGATGATATATGATCGGGGGGGGGGTCTGATTGTCTGATTACCGATTAATCGGCCGATTTTTAACTTAGTTATGAAGTTATAAAATCTATCTTTACTGATCAATACGGCCCCTCAGACTGGACCCCTAACCTCCACGTGGTCGCCTATAGAGGGGTCAGGGATCCATTTAGGACACGGCCGAGATCACAGCTGGAGCAGGTGAAGACTGCAGAGGTCACCTGTGACCTAAATGGATCTCTAACCCCTATATCCACCTTATTCCGAGCTCCCATGAGCTCTTGCGTGAATTGTGGGCGTGACTTCAGGTATGAGCTGAAAGTGCCGTTTGATCACCTACAGGAGCATTTTAGGGACTTTATTATTATCCACCCCACCACTCCCCACCTAAAACCACATCACTGATGCACTCCAGGAACCCTGGGAAATCCTGGTCCATGATAACCGCTCCAGCTGCAGTGTCCAACACTCTCCTGAAATCGTGTCATTTTAGCTTCATACTGACGAGTCGTCCAAACGCAGCGTACACATCAGCTGTTCGGAAAAGGGTCATACAGCGCCGTGTCCTCTCATACACATTCAGTCTTACCTGTTGCTCCCGTGACGCTGCTGTGATTCGTCTGTGGCGTCTCTCCTCCGGTGGTTTATCGTATCCTAACCACTAAGTAGCGTACGGGCGTCCCTCCGTTGCTTTTTGTCCAGGAATGTTTTTGGTGGTCTCTTTTTAAATTCATGTTTTTCAGTCACATCCTTCTGGGTTCCTCTTGGATCGGAAGGCGATGGAAACGGTACCGACTGTCACATGAACACTGGCTCTTGGTTAGAGGCGCGTGTTGAAGACATCACTCTCGTAGCAACATATTGAGCTTCGTCTGGTTGTTCGTAAAGCCACGAACTGCGCGACATGTCCCCGAGCTGCGTGAGGACATGCTGCTGGGCTTGATCGTGAAAAGCTAACGGGGAACTTCCAAATCAACCTCAGCGAGAATCGAACGCCGCCGGCAAACCCCCTTTCCTTACTTCAGGAGCGTCAGCGGAAGTTGCGCCCATAATCGGTTCTCCATTAGCGCCCCCAAGAATAAGGTGGACAGGCGACTGTATGGGGGTTAGCGCCATCTTGAGGGGTGACCAAAACCTGAGTGCTCAATTCCAGTGCCCCATATAGGCGACTCAAAATGCAAAATGTAATGACCATCCGATGGTCACTCATCCTGGTAGTGTCGTAAACCTGCAGTGATGGAGTTTCACTGCATTAGTCAGCTGTGGAGTAAAACCTCATGTGGGGGTTCAGGGTCCGTTTAGGACACAGTCTCCAGGTGTAACCAGCTGAGGAAACATGATTGGTCAGTTTGTTTAACCCCGCCCCCTGTGTGCAGGTGTGTGACCTGTGTCGACATCAGCAGGCGTTGCCGTGGGCGATGGCTCTGATCGAAGGCGTTGGAGATGAGGTGACGCTGCTCTTCGGCTCCCTGCTGCTCCTCCTGGTCCTGCTGCTCGCCTGGATCTCCACCCGCACCTCCGAGCCGCCGGAACACCTGTTCACCTCCACCACAGGCCCCGCCCCCTCACTGAGAACAGGCCCAACCCACCAGGAAACACCCCTCTCCTCCACCAATACCTCCTCCTCATCATCCTCCCCCCTCAGCTCTGTGAGTGACAGCTCTCTGACAGAGGCTCCGCCCACTAACACCTCCACCCAAGAGGACAAGGATGAGGGGGGAGGGAGGGGGGAGGAGTCTGGAGGAGGAGGAGGGGGTGACGGGGTGAGGAGCAGAGGAGGAGGAGGAGGAGAAGAAGAAGGAGGAAGAGAGGAGTCTTCATCATCTCAGAGGAACATGGTGGTCCGACTAAAGTTCCTGAACGACACCGAGAGGACGGCGAGGGTGACGCCGCAGGACACGGTGGGCTACATCAAGAGGTAATCCTACTGCAGTACTACTGTAATACTACTGTAATACTACTGCAGTACTACTCTAATACTACTATAATACTACTATATAAAACTGTAATAACACCCAGAGGTCAGAGTGTCAGTGCGGCGGTCTCTCATCATCTTTGTCACCATTTGATACGTCATGATGTTCTCCTCTGACCTTTGAACCCCTCTCTCTCCCTCCCCCCCCCCAGGACCTACTTTGCGGGTCAGGAGCAGCAGGTCCGTCTCATCTATCAGGGTCAGCTGCTGCAGGATGACGCCCAGACCCTGTCCTCCCTAAACCTGACCCATAACTGCGTGCTGCACTGTCACATCTCACAGAACGCCAGCCGGGCGGCGACGGGGGGTCCGCGCCCCGCCGACCAGGTGCAGGTGGCGCTGAATGTGGGCAGCCTGATGGTGCCTCTGCTGGTCCTCATGCTGTCCGTGCTCTGGTACTGTCAGATCCAGTACCGCCAGTTCTTCACGGCGCCGGCCACCGCCTCGCTGGTCGGAGTCACCATCTTTCTCAGCCTGGTGGCCTTTGGAGTCTACCGCCGCTAGCTGCTCTCTGATTGGCTGCTGTTTCTCTCCCTGCCGTGACATCAGCAGCCAGGGCGGAGCTCCGTGTGACGTCTGACCTCTGTGACCCTCGGGGTGACGGACGCTTCTAGAGTTCATGTTTGTTTGTTTTTCCGTTGCCATGGAGACGGCGAGCGTCGAGGAGGACTTTGTTTTAAATTTTTTTAGATCCAGTTTGTGTAGAACCTCATCATGGTGCCTCTTTACTCTGAGGGAAGTCCTGGTTCTGGACGGGGGGGGTCTGATCCAGACCAATGAGAGCGAGCGGGGGGGGGGGGGCAGAGAGAGAGAAAGAGACTGTGGGAGAGCGAGAGAGAGAGAGAGCGAACAGGGCGGTTTAATGAGATCTTCTTTCAGAGACAGAAATTCTATTAAATCATTTATTTATCGACTCGTCTGAAACTCGTCTTTATTTACCTCAGAGGGTCCGACCCAGGACCACCACAGGAACCAGTACAGGACCACCACAGGAACCAGTAGCCTGGCTGGGCCATCCTGTTGCGTGAGTCACCTGACGTTCCCTCCCACCACAGTCTGGACCTCGGCCAATAGAGAGCGTGTATTCCCGATCAGAAAATAACCGGGCCAATCAGAGACCGTGTTTTCACTGTTACCCGGACAACAGGGAAAGGCAGCCCCTGATTGGTCCATGTACTACTGTAACCAAGCAACTGTGATGATGTCAGATGCTTGGTTACGGTGATTGGTTACAGTAGTCTGTCTATCAAGGGAAGTACTCCCGCCCACTTTCAGGGCTTCCAATGGGCCGAAGTCCAGACTGTTGTGGGAAGGAACGTCAAGTGACTCACGCAGCAGGATGGCCCAGCCAGGCTAAGGAACCAGTACACAGGGACCACAGGAACCAGTACACAGTGCTGTGATGGTTCTGTCCAATCACAAACCGCCCCTCACAAACTCGCCCGTCACTCCTGAGTGTCTCTCCTGATGAAGTTCCACTCACACCTGTGGAGGGCGCCTCCATTAAAACAGGAGGGTATAAAGAGGACGGGCGGGTATGGGACGCCCTCCTCACTCCACCAGAAAGATGAATCGTCATAGCAACACAAAGACGCGTCCTGTCCATGGCAGCGTTCCTACTGTCTTTGTGAGTCAAAGGTGGAGACAAACTTAGATTTGTTTGTTGTTTCCTCCTCCTCCATTTTTGCCGACGCACTTCCTGTAAATCCCGCCGTGAGTGAGCCGTGAGTGAGCGTCGGTGCAGACTCGCTATTTTAGGGCTGAATGGTCCACTCAGTTTGGGACGGCCTTCAAAACAGACGAGCCTCCAGGGGGGCGAGTGTGTAGGGGGCGGTTTGGGATTGGGCCTCAGATCTCAGACCAGGTCAGAGGTCAGAGGTCAGAGCTGGGCGGAGCTTCAAAGTTTTAGGAGGATAAAGAAGTGTTTTTGGTGTGAAGTCAGAGTGTGTGTGTGTGTGTGTGTGTGTTTGTAACTGTGTGTGTGTGTGTGTGTGTGTGTGTGTGTGTGTATAAATGTCCCCTCACACAGACTCGTCCCCCTTTTTAACATTTAGTCGTTTATTGAACCTCAGGTGAGAGCTGAGTCATTCTGAGCTCTGATTGGTCAGGAATCGCCTGCAGTCACCTGACCTCTGTGGACAGGTAAACAGATCCACTGAAACACAAACACACAGATTTACAGGAAACACCTGAACGCACCACGTCTCTGCAGACAGGTAACCAGGTGAGTGTGACGGGTACAGCTGCAGGTGATTTAATCCTCAGCTTCTGATTGGTCAACTCGTTTGAATCCATTTAACTATGAAAACAAGAAATCACAGTGACTTTGATGAAACACCTGAACAGGTGAAACCCCAGTCTGCAGGTGAGCAGTGATGTCACAGTGACATCACTTCCTGAAGCTGAGCTGACAGGTGTTCAGGTAACGTCACTCCAGCAGATTCCAGCAGGACCACCGTCTCTGTCAGAGGAAACCTGAGAGGAGACGAGACCGCCGCCGCCGCCTCCTCATCATCATCGTCGTTACCACGGTGACGTACCTGCTGCAGACTGCACACACACATACATACATGAGTGAAATGATGTCATCAGTCTGGCTTCTTCACACCTGCTCAGGAGCCAGGTACACACACACACACACACACACACACACACCTGTCCGTTAAGGAGGTCAGCAGCTGCTCCGTGTACAGGTGTTTCCAGTCGTAGATGATTGACAGCAGAGACTCTCTGAAAGGTCGGAGGTCAACCTGCAGCCAGCTGTTCAGAGTGATGACATCATCCAGGTGTGTGACCTCAGTGCTGAGTGTGTGGAGCACCTCCATCTGAAACACACACACACACACACACACACCTGGACAGGTGAGCGTCTGCTGCAGTGACCCCGCCCACAAGAGTCGTACCTGGACGTCTGTTTTACCCCACCACCAGGTGACGGGGGTCACAGGTGTGTCTCACCTCTCTCCTGTAGTCCTTGATAGTGGGCGGAGTCACGTCGGCCTCCAGCTCCTCCGGTCCCAGCTGTCGGCCGTACGTCAGGAACTCTTCCATGGCCGTCATCTTGTCACTCTCCCACAGGTGTGAATACCTGTTCAGCCCCGCCCTCAGATGCTCCGCCTCCTTCTTCACCTGCGTCAGGTGTTGCATCACTTCCTGTTCCAGCTGACAGAGGGCAGGATGCTGCTGCAGACACACCTGGACACAGACAGGTGTGATGAGCACGCTCTGAAACACAGCCTGTGATTGGTCAAGGTTACAGTGATGTCAAAGTCACCTGGTAGTTGCCGTGGCGACTCACAGAGATCCTGGGTAGCTCGCCTGCTGCGGCGTACGCATCAGTGATGACGCTGTTTAGGTGGTCAGAGAGGTCGCCGCCCAGTGACGGCTCAAACACGCCGTCTGTTTCCTGCAGCGTCAGAGAGACCGCCAACAGCACCCCCGCGCCGCTCTGTGAATACACACACACACACACACACACACACACACACAAATACACACAGTCATATACAGCCAAATCAAGACAAATACGTGTACCTGTGTGTCCATACACTCAGACAGGTGTGTGTACCTGAGTGTGTACCTGTGTGTGTGTGTGTGTGTGTGTACCTGTGTGTGTACCTGAGTGTGTACCTGTGTGTAAACCTGAGTGTGTACCTGAGTGTGTGTACCTGAGTGTGTACCTGTGTGTAAACCTGAGTGTGTACCTGAGTGTGTATCTGAGTGTGTACCTTTGTGTGTACCTGAGTGTGTACCTGTGTGTGTGTGTAAACCTGTGTGTGTGTGTAAACCTGAGTGTGTACCTGAGTGTGTACCTGTGTGTGTACCTGAGTGTGTACCTGTGTGTGTACCTGTGTGTGTACCTGAGTGTGTACCTGAGTGTGTAGCTGTGTGTGTACCTGTGTGTGTACCTGAGTGTGTACCTGAGTGTGTACCTGTGTGTGTACCTGAGTGTGTACCTGAGTGTGTAGCTGAGTGTGTACCTGAATGTGTACCTGAATGTGTACCTGTGTGTAAACCTGAGTGTGTACCTGAGTGTGTACCTGTGTGTGTGTGTGTGTGTGTAAACCTGTGTGTGTAAACCTGAGTGTGTACCTGAGTGTGTACCTGTGAGTCTGTGCGGTCACACAGCTGTTGCAGCGTTGTGAACATCATCTGGAGTAGACCCTCCTGGACTTGGTCTTGGATGTGGTCCAGGTATCTGGTCCAGGACTCAGAGGACTCCTCGGCTCTGTACAGGCTCCTGTTCACCTGAGGTCAAAGGTCACAGCAGGTGACATCAGTCTCTATGCCCCTCCCCTCAGAGGTTACCTGAGGTTACCTGTATCATGTTGAGCAGCTGTTGTCCGTCCTCTCTCAGCCGTCTGCGACTCTGCTCGTTAGCTCCGCCCTCCAGCACTGAGTCACCTGAGTGGCACTGCAGCAGGTGAAGCCCCGCCCAGCCCTGCAGATGGAGGTGAATAATCAATAAGACCTCCTTTTAATCATCATCATCATCATCATCATCTTCATCGCTCTGTCCTGGTTCTAACAGGTGGACCCGTCTTACAGCCGTGCTCAGGCTGAGTCAAGCTCCGCCCACAGAATATCAGCTGATTGAACCTTTGATCATCCGACTGTCAGGTAAGAAAATGTTCGATTTAAACTTCCTCAACAGTCTCAGGGTTCAGGGTCCGTCAGTCAAAGGTCAGAGGTCACTGTCACTCACCTGTATCAGGTGTGTCATGGCGTCCATGTTGGCTCTGGCCTCGCTCACTGTGGAGAGGACGACCATGACTCGCTCTTTCTTCTGCTCCACCAGGTGCTGCACACCTGAACACACACACACACACACACACACACACACACACACACACACACACACACACACACACACACACACACAGTCACAGTCTGGTTGTTTTCACCCCCGCCTCGTTAGAAGTAACCCCGACTTTCCTCCATTTTTTTACCGCATCTGGAACGGAGCGTTTCATTTTGAAAAGAAGATGTTTTATTTTGTGTCTGATCAATTATTTGTATCATTAAATCTATAAGGAGATTGCACGGCTGAACTGCATTCTGGGACTTATTCTGAAGGCTCCACAATCATGGGGAAGACTTCTGACTTAACAGTTGTCCAAAAGACGACCATTGACACCTTGTACAAGGAGGGCAAGACACAAAAGGTGATTGCTACAGAAGCTGGCTGTTCGCAGAGCTCTGTGTCCAAGCACATTAACAGACAGGCGAAGGGACGGAAAAAATGTGGTAGAAAAAAGTGTACAAGCTCTAGGGATAACCGCACCCTGCAGAGAATTGTGACGACAAACCCATTCAAAAATGTGGGGGAGATCCACAAAGAGTGGACTGCAGCTGGAGTCAGCGCTTCAAGAACCACCACGAAGAGACGCATGAAAGACATGGGATTCAGCTGTCGCATTCCGTGTGTCAAGCCACTCTTGAACAAGAAACAGCGTAAGAAGCGTCTCGCCTGGGCCAAGGACAAAAAGGACTGGACTGCTGCTGAGTGGTCCAAAGTTATGTTTTCTGATGAAAGCAAATTTTGCATTTCCTTTGGAAATCAAGGACCCAGAGTCTGGAGGAAGAGCGGAGAAGCACAGAATCCACGTTGCATGAGGTCCAGTGTAAAGTTTCCACCGTCAGTGATGGTGTGGGGTGCCATGTCATCTGCCGGTGTTGGCCCACTCTGTTTCCTGAGGTCCAAGGTCAATGCAGCCGTCTACCAGGAAGTTTTAGAGCACTTCATGCTTCCTGCTGCTGACCAACTTTATGGAGATGCAGATTTCACTTTTCAACAGGACTTGGCACCTGCACACAGTGCCAAAACCACCAGTACCTGGTTCAAGGACCATGGTATCCCTGTCCTTGATTGGCCAGCAAACTCGCCTGACCTTAACCCCATAGAAAATCTATGGGGTATTGTGAAGCGGAAGATGCAATACGCTAGACCCAACAATGCAGAGGAGCTGAAGACGACTATCAGAGCGACCTGGGCTCTCATAACACCTGAGCAGTGCCACAGACTAATCGAGTCCATGCCACGCCGCATTAATGCAGTGATTGAGGCAAAAGGAGCCCCGACTAAGTATTGAGTGCTATACATGGGCATTCTTTTCATGTTCATTCTTTTCAGTTGGCCAACATTTCAAAAAAAACATTTTTTTTCATTGGCCTTTTCAATATTCTAATTTTTTGAGATACCAAATTTGGAGTTTTCATTAGTTGTCACTTATAAATATCAAAATTAAAAGAAATAAACATTGGAAATACATCGGTCTGTGTGCATTGCATGAATATAATGTACAAGTTTCACTTTTTGAATGGAATTACTGAGATAAATCAAGTTTTTGATGGTATTCTAATTTACTGGCCAGCACCTGTATGTGGGTCAGAAAAAACAGATTCTGGTCTTACAGGTTTTGGATGGTCCTGTAGTTCTTCAGAACCTCCTCAGTTCTTCTCTCCAGCTGATGAGTCCAGCAGATCTGGGCTACAGTTGAGGACCTGGACCTGGACCCTCTGAAGACCTCTGGGTCCCCCCTCTGACTCTGGAACAGCTGCTCTATCTGATCCAGCTCCTCCAGGACCAGAACCTCCACACGGACCAGCAGAGAAGGCAGCAGATCCCTGATCAGAGGACGGTCCAGCAAGAACCAGAACATCTGCACCAGCTGAGACAAAGACCAGATTAGTCCAGATCAGATCCTATCACATGATCAGCCTGGGGGTCCTACCTGAGCTCTTCAAAAACCCTTACCTGGACTACAGAGGAGGACTCACAGCAGTCCTCTAGACCTCTGCTAAGGAGGGACACCAGCCGGGTCGCCTGGTCTGAGACCTGAACCAGAAACTGGTCCACGTGGATCTGCAGGTTCTACAGGAGGAGGAGGAGTCAGGTCCTGCTCAGAGTCTAACCCCGCCCCTCACTGTCATCAGGTGACAGACCCTCACCTGGTCCTCGGGGTCTGTGGGGTCACAGTGAGACTCTGAAAGGACCTTCAGATGATGGAGGAAGTCCTGATACAGATCCTGGACCTGGACTGTGAACATGCTTCCGTTGGCTCCGGACAGAACCACCTGATCCAACGGACTCAGCTGCAGAGTCACAAAGACCACCTCCTACAGGGACACGACAGCAGAACAACAGACCGCCGTCAGGGACGCCATATTTTTCTCTTTTAATCGGATGGTAGGGGAAGGTCCCGCCTCCTTCGCCTCTGATTGGCTGTGAAATGTCATCACACGCTGAAGCCGAGCGCGGGCCGTCGGTTCTGTACATCCAACAGAACATTATCAAAGTTCTGAATCTCCTAACCCGACAGACGATGATGTTTTACTGTCTCAGGGTTCGACTCGAACTCTGTTCTCCTGAGTTAAAAAAGTAAGAACTTTAGGGGATCAATGAAAACTGATCAATAATGTTTGTCTTATTGATCGACCTTAGTGCTGTTATTAGAAATCAATTTGAGGTCTTTTGGTCACATGACAGTGAAGCTATTGAAGGAAAACAGCCTTTTCTGAGAACATCAACCGGTAATTTATTGACGGTCCCTTATTCAACACCGACGTTGACAGTGAGGGTGTCGAGTAGATTTAACCGCGCTGCTGTTGTTATTCCCGGTTATGGAGAGTGAGAAGACACCGGTAGATCCTCAGAGAATGTCCGTCAGATATCCAACCTGAAACTAACTTCACCGCCATATTTACAGGAAAATATATCCAACCTGAAACTAACTTCACCGCCGTATTTACAGAAAAATATATCCAACCTGAAACTAACTTCACCGCTGTATTTACAGGAAAATATATCCAACCTAAAACTAACTTCACCGCTGTATTTACAGGAAAATATATCCAACCTAAAACTAACTTCACTGCCGTATTTACAGGAAAATATATCCAACCTGAAACTAACTTCACCGCTGTATTTACAGGAAAATATATCCAACCTAAAACTAACTTCACTGCCGTATTTACAGGAAAATATATCCAACCTAAAACTAACTTCACCGCAATATTTACAGGAAAATATATCCAACCTGAAACTAACTTCACCGCCGTATTTACAGGAAAATATATCCAACCTAAAACTAACTTCACCGCAATATTTACAGGAAAATATATCCAACCTAAAACTAACTTCACCGCCTATTTACAGGGAAAAATCACATTTGTTTATTTTTTTATGCGAACGT